GCCTTTTACTTCAAGTTTTGTCCAAGCTACCAACTGCTCTCGGTTTGCCCAAGCTCATTGCAGCTTATTGCCAACTTATTGAGTGAATTGTTTATCCATTGGTCACACTTAGTGTTGTTGATTATCCAGACTTTGATTCAGGTTTGCCTTTATTCACTTGTTCATTTATTGGTGTCCTTCGGCTCCTTGTTGGTGTTGCAATTCTCGCATTGTCTTTCTCTCCCCTCTAACTTCCAGTGGTTGTATTTCTACATATAAATAATTGTTATTTTCGCCATTACTATTCTCTTCGTTCTATCAGATTCTATTCTTAACTTTATTTTGCTTGTTTACTTGTAACTTTCGGTTTACTTGTTTGTGTTCTGCTCCTTTCCTTCTCTACTTAGGTATTACTATGCTTGCACCTACATGCGTGTGTATCTTTAGCGCCGCTATTATTACCCCTATTGTTGTCTTCAGTCTCTTACTTCGTCCAGTTCATTTACTTGCTCATTTATTCTATTTCACAAGTTTAAAACCCCTTCCCACTTCATCCTATTTTTTACCTCGGCTTCTATACCTCGACGTATTTATCGCAGTTCTATTTCTTTCATTATTGCTATGATTGCGTGCGTTCATGCTTTTGAACGGCACTTTTTTGCATGTATCCACAAGTATGTAGGCTGGACTGTCGCGCAGCATGATATCAGGTGTGAGACGAGACCGCGTGCGAGTGCCAACCCCCACCCCGGCAAACTGCTCTTGAGGCAGCAGCTAAGCAGATCAAAAGACTCTGCGGATATTATAGTGCAGCGGTTGTTCTACCCTCAGAAATAAAGTTGCATGTATCTTTCCGATAACCTGCGAATGCGGTGAATTGGCGGCTGATTTTTGGAATACGCGCAGGCACTATTCTATATAATATACACGGTGACTGTCGTTCGGCGCCTATGATATGGCTGGGCATGTCTATTCATGCATACGTATTAGAAAAAAAAATATATATATATATATGAAAACAACAAAGCGGGTCCACGAATGTGGGGAAAGCGACCATCCAATCGCCAAGGGAGCACTGTCGTGAAGGAATGACTATCACGTACATCGACAGGCAGAGCGTAGGGGTCGCCTGAAGGCCACGCAGGTGGGAAGCTATAAAAAAAGGCACAGCGTCAGGCGCACAAGCATGCTAAAAAACTAGGGAACACCAATGCCTTCACAGTTTCGAGAGGTAGACAGCACCAACGCGAACATAAGCGGCACCCATTCTACAAAAGACTGACTGCAATTGTAAATGGATGCGATAGACGCGTGAGATGCTCGTGCCTCTTCAGCCATCCACTGACGGCATCACGCCTCTCTTCTTGCTGAAGGTAAACGCTTCCCACAACTTTGGTTCTTTCCCTGAAAATCTGAGCTTGCAAGCCCGGCATATTCCAGTGGTCCTTCCAACCAAGTACATTAGAAGGGGAAACGCGCCGTACTTCTGTCCTCTTGGAGCTTCGATCAACGGCCTGAGCAAAGCGGGTGAAGGGAAACGGGGGACTGGATGGGGAGATGTAGAGATTGTCTATTCGCTCTTTTCCATCACTGTCCCGCCCAAACTTGGCCTGCGCCACGAAACCGAGCAGCTCTTGGAATATCCCCAAAACTTTCTGGTCATACGAGCTGATTAGGTTATTCAATTTGACATAACCTTTTAAACGCTCGACCTGCGCTTCCGGAGCCGTCGGCCCTTCACCGTTTTGTGGCGGCAATTGGACAATGCCTGCTGCTTGTAGATCACGACTGAACTTTGCAAAGGAAACTGTGTCCTCTTCCTTCTCCAAGTCGCACATCCAAAGGAGGGGAGTACGAACTCCCAAGTGAACAACTTCAATTCCTGGGTTGCCGGCTGCAAAGCTCTCCATGCTGGTCAGCTGGTCCAGACGGGTATAAACAGCATCCAACACAGCTGATAGCAACATGTTGCTTAGAGCATACTCTTCCTTTTCTTCCTTGCTGGCATTTTTGTCGGGGAACGGCCCGGATTTCAATGCCTTCACATACGTATCAACCAAGAGTCCGACGGTTCCCGGGATCGTCCTGGGATCCACTTCTCTAGGTGATGCCACATTGCGTGGGGAATAATATGAGCTAAAGGCCGCACGCACATCTTCAGACGACAAAGTCCACTTGGCCCTCACGCGTTCCGCAGCTTTCTCTAGTGCATCCAATGTCCCCTTCAAACCCTCGGGGTCTGTTGGCACAGGGGGCCCCACTGGACGTCGTTCCCTCTTGGCAACAGCTTTCCAGCCCCCCAAAACCAGAAGGGAGAACAGAAAGACAGCAGCTGCGCCGATCCAAAAGGGGACGGCATGTGTCTTCTTCTGCATGCGGAGTGTTGTGGACAGCTCGGATTCTCGCAACTCTGGCTCTGCACCATCTGGAGTTGGCCTTTGCATCAACCCAGAACCGGGCAGTTCAGCATGCGGGCTCGTTGGTCCGCCTTCGTTAACCAACCTCTGTTCCATGTGCGTTGTGCAAGATGAAACCGCCAACAGTGGAACAAAAACTAAAACTAGCCCGGGGGCCCACAGTTCTGTAGTGGAGCCCCACGCAAAACTCCCCCTCGTGCTTGCAAAAACACAACAGCTACCGCTTCAAAGTACTTTTGGAAGTGGCGATAAGCATAAACTCCTTGAAATAGACCAATGCATGGGAAGGCCTCAGAGCTCCCCACTAACGGCGGCGCGCCGCGCACGCTGAACTGGAAGGGAAAGTAATGCGAAAAATTCGGCGAAGGCGAATGGTGCAGTGTACCTATTCGTGTAGTTGCTTTCAAACTAGGAAATTGCTGTGACCAATTTGCCCAATTCGCCGTCGGACCGTCGGCGGTGGCTCTGCAGGTGTCCCCCTATACTCCTGGGCGGTGCGAACTTTGGGTGCGGGCGACTGCCCCAGCTGCATGTTGCTGAACTGTAAGTTTTCTTGCATGTCTGTACCGGGGAGCTTAGTTGATACGACCTTCAGTTCCATGCTACTCCCGTCCTTCTCGCTACTTCACCCCGCTGCTGTGCTCGGCCTACGCCCTGCCACTCGGTATCTACGGAGATTCGGGAGGCAGAACCTCTCATCACTTTGTGGGGGCTTTCCAGCCCACAAAAGTGATGATTGCACGGTGCATATTTCGCGCAAAAGTTGACTTACCATGGCACCCCAAAAGAAAACTGTCGATAGTCCGCGAACGTAACGAGAGTCATCGATCTTGCCTTCGTGGGAGCTGCAGGGGGGCCGAAAGAGTTGAGATGACAGTTCCTCAGGACCGGCTGAGCGCTTCTGCAGTCCTCATCTGTCCTCTGCAGAGCGGCCTAAGGGCCTGGGGCTGGGGGAGAGGAGGCAGCCTCAGTGTGAGTTGCCTTAGATGAGTTAGGAAGCACCTCGCAAGACAACCGCGCGTGCAAGCACAACCGAGGCCTAATTGCTGCATGCATAGACACTGTGCAGAACTGTGTAACGCATACTTGGCTCTGTTTAGGTCGCTTGCACACAAGTAGAAATGCGTGGTTCTAGTTGAGACTGATCGTGCCGGATGTGGCACCCGTCTTTCGCCCAAGCAGCACACGCTCTCGTGCCTGGTCACAAGTCAAAGAATGGATGGACCGACGGTTGGGAGCTCGTGCCGGCCTTGCTGGTTGTACGACAAGCATTTCGATAGATTCTCAGCGCCTGATGAGCAAACATTGGGCTCGTGGCCAGGCTGAGCCGCGGGGTCCGCAGCGTCTGTACGCCCCAACCAAAGGAAGGAAGCGGGCCAAACGCAGCAGCTGCAGCCGGAACCTAACAGACAGAGGGGGACAGGCGTATGCGTGCATGTACGGATCTAAGAGCGGTGGTTTTTTGTTCGTAGGCTGTTGCAAGACGCTTGGTGGTGGGGAGAGAAGGATGGGCTGTATGATGCTTCCCTTGACCGTCCAAAAGGATACAGCCTCTGAGGCACCAACAACACCAGGCCCTCCCATCTATTCGTGAGAGCTCCTTCTGCTATTGCTCCGCTTTCCGCTGCAGATGTATATGCTGCCGCGCTTGCCTCTGGGACTCGTTCTGTTCATCTGCTGCAAAGCATATTGCCTAGCTACAGTATGCCATTCATCCGCCAGCGCGAATATCATATGATGCGCACACACCGCCGCGGCAAAAAAAATTAAAGCCCGCGAGTGTGGCATTCCTTTTCACTGAAAATGATATACTAGAGTGTAAATTCTTACATTTTTTTGTTGGTGTGCGCGTTAGTTTGCCTGGCCTTTTGTAGTGTTGTGTTGTGCACTGCAATGTGGTAGTAAAACTAAGAAAAGGGCAACCGTCCCCCAAAGGACTCAGGAAAGCTCAGAGAAGGGCTAGAGCACGAAGCCCAGGTAGGCAGGGTCACCTGCGCAGAAGGGTGTGGCAGCTGGCGTACCTGGCGCAAAGTGGTGTGGGGCGCCACCAGCGAGTAGCGCCAGGAGCTAGGTGGACGAGGACAAGGGAAAAGAAGTTCTTTTTCACTCCTGAAGTTGAGCCCCACCATATTTAATGATTAAGTGACAAAACTACAGAATAGCAGCGACGATCTAGGGGCTTCGGGTGTGTTTCAGCACCGAGAGTAGCTAGCCTACGGTCACCACTAGGAGCCTCACACGGGTAGGTGTGGCGTTGGTCAGTGCCATGCTTGTACATCGTCCATTAGCGGCCGATCGAAGGCCCTCCATGGAGTTTTCGCAGCAGTAGAAAGTTTGCTTTCAGGTGCTGCCTGTCTTTCATGAAAACATTTTGAAACGACCCGCCTACAAATAGTTTCGTCGCTCCCTTATGTCTGTTGGAACTGATAATTCACAGCTTCGGTACTGCGTCTATCTGCTGCTTCTCCTCCTCCTGATGCTCCAGGTGACGCTCCTGGTGCTGTTCCGGCAGCTACGGCTACTGGTGCTGCTGTTGGTGCTGATGCTGCTATTGCTGTTGTTGTTATTGCTGCTGCAGTTGCCAGTCTTACTGCTGCTGCTTTCGTTGGTGTTACTGCTGCTGCTGTTGCACCATAGTCTCCCTACTGCTCCAATGCGCCAGCTGCAACAGCTACGCCAGCAACTACTCTAGCTGCATATCCTACTCCAACTGGTGAAGACTGTGCTGCTGTTGACCCTGTAGTTGTTGTTGCTTCCGATGCTGTTGCTTGTGTGGTCGTTGCCATTGCTGCGGGATCCTTAGAAAACGACAACATCTGCATATTTGCATTTGGTCCCACCTCCAAAAGATGAAGTGTGATCGGCAGCGATTCCTAGGCGACGGCGTAGGTACAGTCAGAAGAAAACGCGCACGTTACCGTGGGACAATAATTGGGGCCATAAACCGCGGTGAAACAAAACTCCGACCCCTTCAACGAATTCCACGCGGGAGGTGTGGATGAAAACTGGCTGTGGGCAAAGTTGCGCCCGAATGCGCACGCCCACGCGTATCACGGCTGCACACAAGTAGAAGGAAGCACTTACATATTTCCCACGAATCTCTTCACGCAGGGGAGCCTCACAAGCCCACTAGGCTAGTCCGTCTCTTGGCCATTTAGAGCAGTATCCCCGTTTTCTGTCGCATTTGCAGCTTTTACTCAGGTGTCCACCATCTCAGTATCCTCCTCTTGTGACCCCTCGCAACAACATTGCTCGCGTTTTGTGGGCAGGAGTCGGGAAAATTCCGGTGATCCGTTGAGCTGCTTTAGAACCAACATTAATGGCACGATAAAAACCAGCAGTAGGGGTAGGTTGACGATGTAAGCCAACTGATTAACTGGAGAGCGAACAGCGAGTGCCCAACACAACTCGAAGCGAACTTCTTGGGCTGCCCGCCCTCCAGCGCGCTTGGGGGAGCGTGCAAATCCACTTGTACCAATTCTCTGCGGCAGAAAGAAACTGGTGAAGGTCTTTCTGGCAAGGTTTCTTGCCCGGCGTTCTGGTGGTTTCTGCATGCATTCCCGCGCCGCTGCAAGCTGGGTATGGAGGTTGGACGAGCCGCGGGGCCGAGGCTTTCCCCCCAAGACCAGGTCTAACTGTAGTGCGCAGGCACTACAATGGAGCTTTGGTGTGGCCTCTAGAGGCCTAAAATCGTGAAAAGGAACGAATACTGTAAAATATTTTAGGGATTAGGACATTTTAGATAGAAAAGCAGCTTCATAGGATCAGAGTGGTCGCCAGCCGGCATCAGCTTGGGGCTGGGTGCGAGGCTGTTGCTATGAGCCTGGCCCACGCCCTCGGCGAGGGTCGGACATCAGTTCTATTATTCTGGTTTTTCTTTCCGTACAATAATAGAAATTCGATCGTATATTTGGTTCTCAATTGTGTTTATTAGTGGTTGCAGCGATAATCATAGATTTTGGTGTCTGGATATAGTGTGTGCACCTGCTCTGCCTAACCAGGGGATCTATCGTAGTGACAGCGTAGGCCAGCTGCTCGCTACTCTAACGGCGTGCCAGACAACGGTGCTTCTGCAACGAGAAGAGACACCGGGGAACAACCGGCTAAAGATTGTGCTTTTGAACTATAAAGCCATTCTTAGGATGAAGTCGCGCCATCTTGGTGCACTTTGCTCGGCATAAAGCGTCAAATACTGCACCAACCTGCGGCTAATGCTCTCAGTTTGTGTGCCTCCCAACGACTCGCTGTGGTCATGCTGCGGTTGTTTTTAAGCTCCACCATAAATTCGAGCCAGAAGGCCCAATCTAACTTCTGCTTCCTGTATTTGCTGATGATTTTCGCAACGTCCTGTACCTTCCAGAAGTTATTCATAAATATTTGGGCCACTCCTTCGGCTGTAACTGAATTGTAAAGGGGAATGAAGTGGGCGTACTGGCTGTGTCTATCCCCGAGACAGTAGATGCAGCGTATGAATGGTGATGGCAGATGCACTAAGAAATCCATTGACATATCTGCGCATATCCGTTCGGGAATCGGAGGAGTTTGCAAGTGTCCGGGCTTGAGAACTTTCCCCCGCTTTAGCTGCTTGCATTCAAGACACGTGAGGAGCTATTCTTATGCTGAGGGGAGCATCCTAGGTCGCCAAAAGAGCCTAGCCACCGTCTCCGCTTGTGGCTGAACTCGCCATGGCCCACTCCAGCATGCTTGTATATTTTGCACGAAACCTCTGCGCGATGCGAAGCTGGAACATACAATAGGCGGAATCCACATTTTTTTCCTTTTGCACAAGATGTCGCCGTCTACGCCGTAGCGCTCGATTCGACACGCAGTGTTGTGCTTAGCAAAAGTAGGAGTCACGTGGAGGTATCTGTAGAGCACAATCACAACAAATGTAGTGCACCGGTACTACAATGATGCTCAATTTCGTCCTCTAATGGCCTATCGAGCAGAAAGAGTAAAAATCTCATTAGGAATGAATCAAGTGACATTAGATAGAAAAGAAAGCCATAAGGCTAAGGCTCAGGTTGCTCGACAGAAACCCAGGGTTCGGAACTTGCTGTGAGGCAGGCACTGTTGCCCAGGAGCCAACCCGCTAGGCGGTCGCCACCAGTCGGATCAAGGGAAGATACGTTATTCTTTGGTGTTCCCTCTTTAGAATATTAGACAAGAGTGTGTTTTAAGGTCTGTTGCTTGTTATTTTAGGTTAATATGTTCGCAGAGTGAAAAGGTAGATATAGATTGTGCACCTAGGTAGATCTGTATAGAGTAGCACGTAGTAACGGCCGTCGGAGAGAGCTGTTCACTACATATCCGGCAGAGAGTACAAATAATACATTACTAGAGAGCAAACCAAGCCACTTTAAATAGGAAATAAGGCGAAAACTGACTGAGAGGTCGTCCTGCGTGTGCCAGCAAGGCCACCGAGTAACGCCTTCCTTATCGTAGCCTTGGAGATTTTTCTTCGGATAGACTAGGGATCGGTTGAAACAGGATGTGCCTGTCACAGAAGTAATGTGGACACTCCCCACCAGCCGGGACAGAGATACTTTGCGCGTTACCGATACTTCTGTCCTCTTCCCGTGGAACCACCTGCGTATCAGGCAATTAGTCTGCAACTGGTCTGCCAATGGTATCGGCTGTTAGGAACAAAGGCTTGTTGAAACAAGAGAGCGCGAGTGCTGGGGAGAATGGTAGGCGTTGGGCAAAGGTTCTGGCGGCTGCATCTTTGCTCCCTGCCTGAACAGGTGGCTTGCCCGTCTTCACTGGGTCCCTTAGAGGGAGCGATGCGAACGAATCCCGATACAAAGTTAGAGTAGTACGATACGAGGCCGAGGAACTTATGAACGCCCGTGCGAGCGTACACTGGTGGCGGCCACCTCCGAATGGCCTATAGCTTTGCCGGGTCTGGTTTCTGAGCTGTTTCAGACGCACCACACCCTAAAACGTTAATTAGTTTCTTAAAAAAGGAACATTGCTGCGATCGCAGGAGTCACAGATTCTCATGCAGCAGTTCTAGAGCACGCCGCATGCGGTGCAAGTATTTCTCCACATTCCAGCTGAACGTAAGCACGTCCTCCACGTAAAAATCATCCATATCTAATTGATTGCCCATAGGAAATCGTGATTGATGAACTGCGGCTGCAATAGGACAGGTGCATTCGTGAGTCCAAAGGCGTTTGCGAGTACTCCAGTTTACGAGTGCAGATATGGAACGCAGTTTTGTGCCTGTCCTTGGGGTGTATTGCGATCGGGGGGAACGCTTCAGCGAAGGGAAATGATGAATATATTACCGAATCCTGCAAGCGGTCAAGTAGATAATCAACCCAGAGCAGCGGAAACTTTTTGCTTTACCGTGATTTTGTTGAGGCGCTTGAAGTGGATGCACGCGTCCTAGCTCCAGTCCTGTTTCCTCGCTAGAACCGTAGTGAATCCGAACGCACTAGTTGATGGCTAAGCTTTATCTGTTCTTAGCATTTCATCTGCTTGCCGCTCAAGCTGCGGGGCTTGCCCGTGCCTAGAAACAAAGCTTTGAGCTTCTCCGGGAGTGAGTTGGTGCATGGGGCGCCTAGCGGGTGGCCGGCCCGCTGGCGCCTCTTTGTTACATAATAGTTCTGAGAACTCTTCCTTCCACTGCACCCGCTTGTGCCGTTTTCCCGGGTGTTATTTGGGATGAATCCCACAAAAACTCTGTTTTCCCAAGTTCATCATGACGGAGTGCATCTCCCTGTCGTTTCCTCTAGTGCCTCTGCGCTACGTAGGAGCCGCCTCTTCCATCTCTTCGTGTGACACTGCTTTCACTTCTTTTACTGTAGAGGATGAAAGTGCCTTAAGGACAGCTGAAAGGCGCGCTCTCTTGGTACTTCTCAGCAAATGCACTGCAGCAGTGTAGCCTGGGAGCGGCAGGCGCTCCCTTCACTGGGCCACCTATGGCATGCTTAGAATTATATCATGGTGAGGTGGTGCAAAATAAAGGGACCCGATCATGATAAAATGAACCTCTCCTGAATCGGTTTTTCTTCTGACACACACATTCTTGCTCATTTGCGCGTCCTCTCCCGTCCGTGAAGAGTAGTCGCCGCGACTGCACGAAAGAATGAAAACGTAATTTGCACCTCTACGGCGGAGCCTCAGATATCATTTCCACTTGGCCGCCTGCGTCAATTACCTCTAGCAACTCCAGAATATTGATATGAACCAGTTGGCTTTAGGCGGGTCTGCAGGTGAGGCTGTCACCTCCTTTGGTCCCATCAGTGAGCCACACGTTTCTAGGGTGCTACGGCGTTTCTCTGCGCTTTCTTTAATCTGTTGGAGGAGCTCTCTCGAAGTCTTTCTTCTCCAGCTCCAAAATTCCCCTCCGACCTCTGCATCCTGGGATTATACGACCTTGTCTATTGAGAAAAGAAGCGTATGCGCCGGTCGGTACTCCCTCCTGGCTTGCTGCATGCCGAATTTCCCGACTGTCGGTTGCCTCCTATTTCCTTTTTCTAGCAGACTAGGGCTGGCTGTCACAGCCCCGATATCCATATGCTGTATGGCTGAGTCATGTAAAATCTCGCTTTTCTCCTGCCCATTAGGGGCAGCGGAAGGGACTTATTTTTTCTCTTGGGTAATCAAGGTTTCCACCCTCCCGGCAAAGCCAACCACTTTACCGTTTTGTTCTTTCTCGGCGGATAAGCCATTTGCAGACTGCCTCTCTCCGGGTGACACCCCTTATGAACCATTGGTACCAGCGGTACTCCACTGTTGGAATTCTGTTCAACTAGGACTGATACCTCTTGATGCACCTCTCCACTGGCACCCGAACTCGGTGTCCATCATGTATGGACTTTCAGCAAAGGCGGAGCAATCCTTCATGTATCGGTTGTGCTGTAAACGCATTTTTCGCTGGGTAAGATACACATACCGGGACGGTTTCAACATCTCGAGGCTCCCAACCTTCGGTATCCCGCCCACCAGAGGGCACGCCCACTGCAGTGAACAGCGGACTCTCCTGTTACTACGTGTATACCCTGTGACGAATCTACCGGATACAGACTCAGCACCGGTGCAATAAGCACAGCCCACCAATGGTATGAGGACTCAAACATTGAAATCAACTTCTTAAAATATATCCGAGTCCCTATATCTTAAAAGGAAATCTGCGTGTGTGTTAAATCGCGGTCTGACTCCGCCTTGAGTCAGAGCACCGCGCCGTCAGTCTCACATTCAGTCCCAAACCCTGGTGAGGCTGCCGGGCATTCTTGATTTGAAACTGTTAGATTCCCATCTAAAGTATTGCAATTTACCTATATCCACATTGTATTGGTTCTTTCGCATATAGCAAGGTCTCTGAAGGCTCCACTTAAGCTCTATTGTAGTGCCTGTGCACTACATCCACGATGCAAGAAGAGAAAAGACCCTGCTGTGGGAGTGAGGTTCGTTAGTCTCACCTGTCGCGATGAACCATGCAGTGCTACATAGTGTAAGGAGAGTCCGCGGTCTCTTCGGAGAATCACCGTAAGTTGCAATGAAGCCGGAAGACCTAAGGAAATATACGAGAAAGCAGGTGAACTTCCCTCCAAATGTTCTGAGCACGGCGGCCGGAGGGCTCGCGGGGGGCACACGGCCTGAAATGAAGCACTCGTTGCATCTGTTGCTGCAATGCGCCTTCATATGCTTGCGCAGGCTCCTTCCTGATGCCGGCACTAACACTGTAGACAACCGTTAGTAAAAAGCACCCTCACATGCATGAATAACCGAAATAGTGCCTGCAGTAGCATTGTAGACCATTGCTATACTTCTGCATTTGTGTAGGCTGCCTACTGTAGCCAAGTGTTCATGCACCAGCTCAAGGCAGCAAATGCTACAGCTGCCATAAAGCAACCCCTCGCGCAAGGATATCCACACCTCCCTCTCACTTGGAATGCGTGCACTAACAACGTCTACAATTGTTAGGTTTTTAAATGTTTTCCACTTGTCAAAGCGTATTCAAACATAGAAAAGTACAACCGAGAACTTGTTACGCGTGGGTGCAAAGGCGCGCAAGTGGGTCCGTGGCGGAAACTAGCAAAGTTTCGGGTATACCAGCTCTGCCCATGGTACAAATTTGATATGCTTGCTGTGCCTCTAGTAGTGTTACCCCAATAATACGACATCCACGCGCGACTGTTTTCGATCTAGGACAGAGCTGAGCGGGGCTTCGGAGACTATAACAGCCGCGTCCGCCTGCCGACACTAGTACTGGAGGCGTGTCCGAGAGCAATCTGCCATGCCAGCCTGAGGCAAACAGTGGCTTTTCAAGGAAGTGGTTCACTCCATACCTTCCCTTCCCTTAATGAGAACGATATCAGCAGCGCTGTTCACCCATTTACACGTTCCTCGCTGAGTCCAGCGCATGCCGCGGTCAAGCTAAACTGTCTCCCGGGTGTGAAAATTCGTCTGCCTGGTTAGCTCGTTTACTTCCCCAGGGCGTCTTCTTATGGCGTCTTTTTTATGCTTTGCGTAGACTATTGTGTTCCAACGCGAGCCTAATTCCGTCCTGGTGCTGTCCCTCCGCCTCCCCCCCACCTCCCCCCGGCACCAAAGGCAACTCCTTCAATTTGATAAGTGCCTTCGCCTCGTACCATGACAGAGTTGCAGAAGACCTTCGATGAGGTGGATCCCAAAGGCCTTCCAGAGCCAGAACTTGATGAGGATCTCCACTCGACTGCTGAGGTATTACCGCCACCAAGCGAATCAACCCCCCTGGCAGTGAAGTACGCTTCGGAGGCGGCAGTGAAGGACGCTTCGGAGTATGACATTGGAAGTCTTCCTGTGGCAAGCCCAATCCAGGAACCCTTCGAAAGGATAAAGAACCTTGGCAAAAAGTTTGTATATATCCCTGCTGTCCTTGCGGCTGGTCGCTTGGATTGTTTCTCTTATCATTACCCGGCGCCAGATAACTGCTGTAATGGAAAAGCGTGTGCTTCCATACCCGGTGCCAACTGACAATGAAGGCTTACAGGAAACCTTGAAGGAAATGCAGATGAGCGCAAGACGGTTACGAGCCAAATTGGACCAGGCCTCTGAGGCAGCGGTACGCATGTTCTTCCAAACCTTTTCTCCAGTGACTGTCGTGAAAGAATTCACCGAAGAGGATTTCAGGTACTGGTGTGACGCTTATGTTAATTTTCTATCTAGTCAGCCTATTCTTGGCGAAACAGCTAGCAAGGCGGAGCGGCAGGATTTTGCGTTGCGAAATATTCTTCTTTCCACCATCTTCCGTGCTGCGGAGAGACGCGTAGACCTTGCGACTACACTTGATGAGTTGTCAGCCCGAAATCAATTTCCTGCACTCTTTATGAATCCTGAGTTGTTACCACACCAAGTGGCTCGGAGATGCAGTGAGGGAGATGTTACGTTCGAGCAATTCACTAGACGGCTAAAAGCGCTTGGAGCTGTGGGAGTGGCCCAACAGGGCGATTCAGGTCCGACAGTTCCCTTAGGAATAGCTTACGATTTGGCCGACGCGGCGGCCTTCAAAAAACACTACGAAGAATCCAACCTGGATGTTTACCAACTATTCGAGAGGTTTCTTGCATCTGCGGAAGAGGCGAAGATCGGAAGAAACGACGAGGGAAAAAGCCGCGTAGAAAATATGGATTTTCCCGAAAGCGAAGTTCCGTTCCCGCTTGCCGGCTTTGCTGAGGCTCTGGAACGAGCGAAGCTAGTAGCAGAAGCGGATCGTTTGCCGTTATCTGAAATTTTGAACCTGAGGGCTCGATGGAATGCCGGAACAGTATCCAGTGCAGCTATGGATGTTAAATTTTCGCACGAGGGGATGGTTTACAATGGAATGGATGTAAAGTATTCTGCTTTGAGGCGTTGGGGTTTCTCGGAAGACAAGGACACCATAGTAGCCCATTTGTTCACGGTCGCAGTCTTCCTGTTGTAACGCAATTGCTCTTATGACAAATCTGACTGTGGTCCGACCAGGCATAGGCAGGCGCTTGTGTTGCTCTTAGCCCTGCATGTGCGCATGCTTATAAGTTTGCGGAGGCAGCCCAGCAGCATGGCCTGTAGGCGTTGCATTTCTAGTTGTTGTGGACACATGGGCTCTGGCCTGAATTGCGCGTTCTGCCGGGACTCGTCCCCAACAGCTTGCGTGAACAACCACGAATTTCTTCAGAAGGGCCAAGCTTGTACAAGTCCTTGACAAAGCCAGTGTGCAGAGGATTCCTGCTTGCCTCCGGGATTAGCCCGGGTACGCAAAAGGCGGAGAGAAGCCAAGACGCGACGCCGTGTCGAAGATTCCAGCTTCTGCCGGACCAACCGCGGCTACTATCTTTGCTGCAATGCAGTATCATCCATTCTGTGAAGGTAGTGCTGTGCATCCAATTAGCGCAAGCATGCGGACACGCAAGTGTCCCAGTAGTTCTTTCGTGCGCATACCCACGTGTCCGGCAGGACTAACTGGGTGGGTTCACCAGCGAGGTTTGCAACCTCCTAGGTGGCATGTTGTTAGGTAGACGATGGCAACTAAATTCATTTGTTATTTCATCCCATTTTGAATCATCAGCCGTTTATGGGGAGCACCATTAAGCATAGCCACACATGGAAAGGGGGTGTTTGCCTCTAGGCACAGGCGGATACAGCCACGAATACGTAGTTTGGGTGCATCCACAGCCACGTAACGAACACCAAATGGCGGCCATCTGAAAGTCCTAATAAGAACGACGTGCGTCGGGATAGTGTTAAGCATACTGAAAAAGGAACACACGCGGTGAATACGAGCAAAACAGGAAGAGGTAAAGGGAAATCTCTTCATTATTCCGTCCCAGCACGACGGGACCTCTCGAGCTAACGATATTCCCTCAAGCGTAACGGTTTTTCTTGTTAGTGGCGACAGGCGACAAGCACTCGTCTAAGATTGTAGTGAAATAGAAACAAATGCATGTGATTAGGCTGGAGCAGCAGAGACGCACAGATTTTAATAGCCAAGCTTTAAAACGCAAACGGAAGCCAGATAGATTAGATTATTCACATGCGCGGGGGTGCGCTGAAGACTCAAGGCTTAGCCAGTCGACGCGTGTTAGAGACAGAAACATGCACAACGGTGCGCAGGGTGAATTCAAGATAAGCTGAGAAGCAGGCGTTGAATTGCATGAGGGATCTATTATTGCAGCGGTTGTTCTCCCCCTTCGTAAGCAAAGTTGCATGCACCATTCTGGTATTTAACGAGTTTGGCTTGGAAGCTAATTTGGCAAACGTGCTCTAATTTACTCGGTCTAAACGGTGACTGCCATTCGGTGCAAGGATATGGCTGCACATGTCATGCGCACGCATCCGCATCCATATGCAAGACCCTTTAACCGCCGTGGAAGCACTGTTGTGAAGGGATGGATGGCATCATATGCAGAGATCATCAGGACGGGGGAGGCTGCAGCCCACATTTAGCCACAGTTAGCGAAGTCCAATGGCACTGCATCAGGCGCGCCCTCACAGATCTGTCAAAAGCGCGTATAGCAAGATTGCACGAAATAGGTATAATCGGCACCCATACTACAGAAGGCATATTGCAATTTCAAATGGATGCGCTAGACGCGCGGGAGTATCTTCGGCGTCAAACCATCCAGAGAGGGCAGCATGCCTCTCATGCGTCTGAAGAAACGGGCTTCCAATAATCGAGGTTCTTTCACTGGCGATCGCCTTTTGCAAGCCTGATGGATGCCAGTGCGGTTGCCATCTACGTATCTTAGAAGTGGAAATGCGCCGTGCTTCTGCCTTTACTGAGCTTCGATTAAGGGCCTCAGCAAAGCGAGTGACGGGAAATGGGAGCACTGATGGGGAAATGTAGAGATTGTCTACGCGCTCTTTTCCGTTACTGTCCCGCCCAAACTTGGCCTGCGCCACGAAACCAACCAATTCTCGAAACATTTCAAAAACGTTCTGGTCATACGAGTCGATTATTTGTCGTAAGGTGACAATATTTCCCAAATGATTGGCCAGAGTTTTCGGAACCGTCGGCCCAGAATCTTGTGGCGGAAATCTGTGAATGCTTTGTCCTTGTAGACGACGAGAGAGAAGCCTAAAAAAGACACCGTGGATTCTTCCGTCTCCATCGCGCTCATCCACAAGGCATCGCCAGCAGTTCCTAAGTGAATAACTTCAGTGTCGGCTGCAAACCACTCCATTCTGGTCAGCTGTTCCAGACGGACAAAAAGAGCATCCAACACAGCTGATACCAACATGTTGCCTAGAGCATACTCTTCCTTTTCTTCCTTGCTGGCATTTTTGTCAGGGAACGGCCTGGATTTCAATGTCTTCACATACGTATCAACCAAGAGTCCGACGGTTTCCCGGATCATCCGGAGACCCACATCTTCACTTTCCAGACTGCATGGGGAATAAAATGAATTAAAGGCCACACGCACATCTTCAGACGGCAAATTGCACTTGGCAAGCGTTCCGCAGCTTTCTCTAGTGCATCCAATGTCCCCTTCAAACCCCCGGGGTCTGCTGGCTGCGGGGGCCCCACTGGACGTCGTTCTCTCTTGGCAACAGCTGTCCAGCCCCACAAAACCAAAATGAAGAACAGCAAGACAGCCGGTGTGCCGATCCAAAAGGGAAAGCCATGTGCCTTCTTCTGAATGCGGAGTGTTGTGGACAACTCATGTTCCGATTCTCGCAACTCTGGCTCTGCACCATCTGGAGTTGGCCTTTGCATCAACCCAGAACCTGGCAGTTCAGCATGCGGGCTCGTTGGTCCGCCTTCATTAACGAACCTCTGTTCCATGTGCGTTGCGTGAGAGGAAGCCGTCTATAGTGGAAGGGTGGCCCACAGTTCCGTAGTGGAGCCTCCCGCAAAACTCCCCATCGTGCCTGAAGAAACACAACAGCTACAGCTTCAAAGTACTTTTGGAAGTGAGCAAAAGCATAAACTTTTTGAAATGCACCAAGGCATGAGAGGGCCTCAAAGCACCCACTAACGGCGGCGCGCCGCGCACGGTGGACTGGAAAGGAGAGTAATGCGGAAAATTCGGCGGAGATGAAATGATGATGCCGTATACCAACTGACGTACTTGTTTTCAAAAGAGGAAATTATTTCCCGGAAGGACCGTCGGCAGTGGCTCTGTAAGGGTCCCCCCTGGGCTGTGCCCAAGGCGCTTCCCTAGTGAACAGTGCTCGGCTGCCATTGGTTGTAGGCGCTCTGTACACCTGTTCAGGTGCATAGTCAATATAATCAAGCTACACTCAGCCCAAAACCTTTAAAATTAGCTTAAATTGCCAATGAAAAGCTTAGTATCCCTATATCGGGGCCAATTTGCCTCAAGGAGGAAGAGAGTTATGCAACTGTCCCCTTGTACGGCACCGCCGCCGTCGCCGTGCGTGTAGTGCACGAGCAATACAATAGGCTCCCCACTGAGCCTCTAGCGGTATATCCCTAGGACTAACACGATATAAGGCAAATATAACTGTTTGATCGAAATTATTCAGGCCAGAATTGAGTCCAACTGGGTTACGAGAGCCCACAGCCCTCACAGCTAGGGGTCGAACCGCTTTGGGGGTTCAGGCAATTGACAGTTCCTTCCCCTCCTTTTGCATATTGGACGGCTGAATTTGCGTTCAAACTCTGTTTTTCAGTAATTTAGAATACTCGACAGAACTCGCTAAGCCCGGCGATAGATTTAGAATGCGCACCTAAGTGCGCGTGTACGGAGTTACACGTATCAACAGCAATGGGTGACAGCGGTTCACTACATTTGGGGGCTGCTCCGGGATATTAGAGCCCAACAATGCGGATATTAGTAGGTCGTTTTGTTATCGTAACCATGTCGTTAGAGGCAGAAGCACTCATGCGCCTATCCGACGAGAAGACACTACGTGCGGGCCTGAGACAGGCCTACAAGCCGCACGGCAATGCCGGATGATGAGGGATGTGCGATGACCGACTGATTGGCGCACCTAATCCTACTTCCTGGGAGTGTCCTGTATTCGAGAAAGGCAAATATAAGTCGTGTTTCCGCAGCTGCCTCGTGAACGGGCGACACCTTAACAACCTTCCTTGATCTAATGGAGCTACGGTTCACGAAGATGGACCAGAGAAACTGGGAACGGTGGCTCAACGGAAGCGCGAAGACTCTTCGGGAAATTGACGAAGCACTACTTGCTGGTAGAGTTAGTTAAAGCTCGGCGGACGGGAAATCATGTTGAGTATGCTGGACGATTCGTAACTGTAGTGCTGGTGGTGGCTTTCAGGGGCGGTTCACACTAGTTCAGGGCGACTCACCAAGGGCCGGCCACCTCAGCAGTCCAGCACACATTGCGTACCACGGGCCTCGGGGCCGAATGCAGCGTGTAGATCACCGTCTCCGACGAGAACCAAATCCGGTGCGGATTCCCATGTTCCGAGCTTGCAATAGAGAATCGCCGTCAGTCTTCGAGGCGGTACCATTCAGCAAGGAGAAAGAGAAGGATATTATGTACGTGCCAGACAAGCCCAACCCTAGAGAGGCTCATCCCGAGGCAGTGGGTTACGATGTTCGAGACTGATTCGTAGTCCGTCAGAGCACGGAGTGTGGTGCCGTATAGGCGAGGCGGCAATAGCCAGCGTACAGATTGCGGGACACCGTTGCTCCGCATTGTTAGATTTGGGTCTTCGCGCATATTTGTCAGTTCGTAGTCCTTGGGGCGTGTTGATTCGTAGATGAGCTTTGATTTTAATAGGGGTTTATGTGGCACAGGGGCCAGCGGTGTGAGTAAAACGAGGAGTAAGAGGCGTGGATCGGAATTGAGGCAGACAACGTCCCGAACTATTGCCTGGTGGTGCCAGTATCTTATGATGTATTGCTGGGGCTCGATTGGTTAAGAACTCATGGAGTGGCACGGTATTATCTGTCGAACAGATTGCATACGTACGTAAATGGTCGTTGGTGGCTTGTGCTCATGGGATAACACCGAGCGATAAGGGTAAAACAGCGAAAGCATAGGAGTCCCCAGATGGGATAGTCTGCAACTTCGATGCAGCAAGACCCTGGGATGGCGGAGAAGGATCTTTCAGCCTCCCAACAATCTCCAAAGCGGAACAAGCAAGGGAGCGGCAGTGGGCTGGCTACCGATTAGGGATGACCAGGGAACCCCTACTAGCAGTTTATAAAGTGGAGTATATTCTGCATAAGCGTGGGGAAACCGACCAATTCGAACACGTCGTCACGTAGCGCAACGCGCCGGAGGATCGGCAGTCTCTGCATGAAAAGCGGGGGACGAGGTGCTCGCGCACTCGCACGCACTTCCCTCTCGCACCCAATATCATGCTACCTGATGGGAAGATCCCCAAGCCGTGGGAAGGTAGAGCAAGGAGGGTGCCAGGCATACCCGGAAAGAGAATGCTCATGCGCTAGCCCATGCAGGAACCCAGGACAGGACCCAAGGGACGGAAGCAAGCGACACTAACGCAAGCCTGGACCGAAGACCTGCATAAAGGAGAAGGCGGCCGACAAGCTGTGCGTGTGCTATTGAGGTGCCGAGGCTAAGGTCTCGGAGCGTGGGAGCCTGCAACTGCTAAGGCATACAGAGAGCAGTAGAGCACAGCAGAGCGCAGCAGGGCACAGCAAAGAACACAGGAACACAGCCCTTGAAGGAGAAAGCGGCAGCGGGAGCGTTGACAGAGAGCCTGAGACCAGCACCAGGGACCTGAGGTTTCGAGGCACGGACCAGAAGAACGGGAATAATAGTTGCGCGGATGCCAACATAGACGAGCAAGCGGAGCCACACAATAGCACCGGGCGGACACCAGCGTAGGCGGCCCTACCGCCAAGGAGTTTCAAGGAACTTTCCAACCCGATGTACTGCTCTGCAGACGAAGGAATGAGGAAAACCGAGACGATAAAAGTTTTCCTTTTTACGATTATGAGACGAGAATATGTTTTAAAGGCTGTTGCCTGTTATTTTAGACTAATTTAGGGAATATTAGTCGAGTGCAGCAAAAGATATTAAAGCGTGTATAGGGTAACGCACGGTAACAGCCGAGAGAGAACGGTTCACTACAGCTGGGATACTGACAGTTTTGTCGTGGGGTTGCCCCTCAAAGGGGCCGCATCGAAAGAAGAATTATTACTACACTTCTTTCTCTAAGAATACGGGGCTCGGATATGGATTGGAAACCGTTTTTTGATATTTTAAGGTTATTTCACGGGTTATTCTCTGAGTGTAGCATGTATTTATCGAGTATGCACCTATATAGGTATGCCTAGGACAGGTCAATAGTAACCGCAGAGAGCGCTGTTCACTACAGAGGGTATGTTACACCAGAGGCAGCCGCAGCAATAAAGCCAACCATACCAATAGCAATGCGGCTCACAACTGCGGCAGCAATAATAACAATATGAATAACGCCACAAGCACAGATAGCAGCACTAACCCTAGCATCCGCACTCAGAAGCGTCATCCCGCGCATAACGAAGAGGAGCGGCAGCAGAGACAGAGGCAGCCAAGCGGTGCATTACCAGCTCCGACGGAAGAGAGCGACGCGATTATAGGAGTCTCCTCAATATTTTCCCATGAAACAATGGCAGCAGCAGAAAACAAACTTCCTACTGTTTCCCGAACCGCTAAGTACGAAACTGTATCACACCGAAGCGAGCAACGGCCACACAGAACGAATCCAACAGCAATTTATCAAAAAAAGGAATTCGCATCATATATTATGCTATATGTAGATGAATATTAAAGACAAACTCATGAGCATGAACGTGTAACAGCATGCAACCGTCGCGGACTTTGGCTCCACCCCTGCTCTGTATGCTCCCTATTGGGGTGCTCAGTTGTTCTTGCTACGGCTGAGTGGCATACTGCTGCAGCTAGTCCATAGGCATTATCAGCAAGAGAACAGAACAAGTCCTAACAGCAAACGAGGCAACGCACACACATATGCTGCTGCGCAAATGCAGCAGAAAACGACGCAACAGCAGAGGGAGTACAGCAACTATCCGCCTACTTCCTCCACCGTGGCTCAGTAACAGAAGGAGAGGCCTGCTGCTGTTGCTACCTCAGTGGCTGTATTCTGTTATGCGGTTATGCGGCTGAGACGAATATCGTACACCCACCCTTCACGTCCCCACTAACAAGCGCCTTGCAATGACAAGCACCGACAAACAAGAAAAACATACTCCCGGTATGCACGCAAACATGCATACACCTGCTCCCCGTTGCCTGCTCATCGCCGTCTATGGCTGGGGCATTTGAGCTGTTTTCTTCCTATGCTCGGGGTGTTAAGACACCTCGGGTCTCTAGGATCTGTCCTTGCCGCGGGCCCGACGTTTGCTCTTTAGGCGAGGCGACTATATGCCAAAGCGTTCATCGTAACAGTAGAAAGGGCAGAACGAGCTCCCATTCCTTGGTTCACCCATCCTTTGCTGGGTGACCAGGCAAACGAGGGCGTATGCTGCTGGAGGCAGAGGGGCATGGCAGGCGTAGCAGTGCCCATATGAAATTGGAACATGCACTTCTAATTTAACTGCGCTGTCCTACTAATCGCTAACTGAGTATTCGACAATTGCGTACAATGGTGATGAACGCATCAAATACGGCTTGGTTGTGCTTGCACGCGGGGTTGTCTTCCAGCATCAGTTGCAGCGAGTTGCGTAGCAACCCATCACAGGCAACTTGTCTCAGGTTGCGCCCTCCCGTATTCCCAGCCGCTTGGGAGCCATACACAGGATTGCTGGGGACTGCATAAGAGGCCCGCCGCTTCTTAGGAGCGTACCTCTAGTAATCGTCGGATAAAATCGACAGGCCTCGCTAAAATCGAAAACTATCAACGTTGGTTTTTAGGGTGTCATAATAAGTCAACTTTTTGGACCGATATTGCTCCATGCCATCAACACTATGTGCATTGAAACGCCTGGCATCTCGATAGAGTGGCGGCAGCAAAAAAAAGCACAGCAGCGAGGTGAAACAGCAAGAAAGACGGGACTACCATGGATATAAAGGTCTTATCAACTACAATTCCCGGTGCAATCGAGCAGGAAGACAAAAGCTTCAGCATCATGCAGCCGGTACCACCGCCCCCATGCAAGCGTTTCGCATTGCGCAGTAGGAGTCTAAAAAAGGATTTGATGAGCCACTGCCGACTGCCTTTCGGTAAATTTGATCACAATATTTTTTCCTTTGAAAGCAGCAACACGAGTAAGTTGACAGTATCCTTCATCTTCCCCAAATTATTCGCAGTACTGTCCTCGCGAGTTCCGCGTACGCGGTCCGCGTACGAGGTTCGTTGCCATGGGTGGAGTGGGGTTTTCTCAGGCCCTCTCGTCCCTTGCTGTTTTTCAAGGAGTTTATGCTTATGCCCACTTCGGTAAGTACTTTGAAGCTGTAGCTGTTGAGTTTTAGCAGGCACGAAAGGGTGTTTTGCTTGAAGCCTCCACTACCGAGCTTTGCGCCCCCGGGTTAGATCCCCTTCCATTCTAGGCTATTCCATCGCAAGCCCTGCACATGGAACAGAGGACCGATAATGAAGGCGGACCAACGAACCCACATGCTGAACCGCCAGATTTATGGTCAATGCAAAGGCCAACTCCAGATGGTGCAGAGCCACAGTTGCGGGGATCCGAACATGAGCTGTCCACAACACTCCGCATTCAGAAGAAGGCACGTGGCTTTCCCGTTTGGATCGGCACATCGGCTGTCTTGCTGTTCTTCATTTTGGTTTTGGGGGGCTGGAAAGCTGTTGCCAAGAGGGAGCGACGTCCAGTGGGGTCCCCGGTGCCAACAGACCCCGAGGGTTTGAAGGGTACATTGGATGCATTAGATAAAGCTGCGGAACGCTTGAGGATCAAGTGGGGAAAATCGTCTGAAAAGGTGCGTGTGGCCTTTAATTCATTTTATTCTCCAAGCGGTCTGGCGGATGGAGCCGAGCTTGCGGAGTCTCTCCCAACTGATGCCTTTAGAGATTTCCCAGAAATTATTGACGTGCTTGGTGCATATGTGGACGAATTCAGATCCACGCCTTTACCTGACAAGAATGCCAGCAAGGAAGAAAAGGAAGACTATGCTATGGGCAATTTAGTGCTTTTGTGTACAGTGCGTGCTGCTACGACCCGTCTTGGCCAGCTGGCCAAACTGGAAAGGGTTGCAAACGAACACCCAGGGACTGGAGTTTATCTCTTGTCAATCAGACCTATGACTGATTTGATGGCAACGGTTGAAGAGGAAGAACACAATTTTTCTTTTACACGCTTCGTTCGTCAACTAGAAGTAGAAGGCATTGAGGAATTTCCGCCACAGAAGGGTTCAGGGCCGACGGCTCCGGAAACTGCGGTCAATCCTTTGGTAAATGCCATGAGAGTAAAGCATATAATCGATTCGCATGACATGGAAGTTTTCGGGATATTTCAAGAATTGCTTGATTACGCGGAGCAGGCCAAGTTCGGGCGGGACAGTAACGGTAAATCAAGCGTAGACAATCTTTCCTTGCCCCACTCAGAGCTCGCATTTCCCATGGCCCGCTTTGCTCTTGCCTTTGGTCGAAGCTCAGAGAGGGCAAAACTACGGCGCACTTCAGCTTGTGAGGTACTTGGTTGGCAAAAACACTGGAATGTACCAGGCTTGCACAATTTCGCGCAAATGACAAGAAGCTCAGTTATCGGAAGCGTTTCTCTTCAGCAATATGAAAGGCTTTCTGCCATTTCCGCATGGTCCTTTAACACGGATCCTCGCACGCGTCTATTGCATCCATTCGCAATAGCAATCTCTCTCTTGTAGTATGGGTGCCGCTGCGTATTTTGTGAGCTCGTGCTGTGCACGTTTGGCGAAACTTGTAGAATGGGTGGTGGGGTGCTTCTTCCTATTTTGCACATCCGTTCTGTGTACGTATATTCCCCATCGCTCTGCTTTTGGCTGCAGATGATGTTAAACCGTTCACAACAGTGCTTCCTTGGCGGCATGAGGGCCGTTTTCCTCACGTACAGGGACTCACTTCGTTCTTTCATATGAATACGGATACGTGTGTATGAGTAGACATGCCCAGACATATTTTGGGCCGATTGGCAATCACCGCTTGAATTGAGTAGATTATTGCATGTGCGCTTTCTAGCTGCTAGACTGGATTCGCCAGCTATCGGAAAGATAGTGCCGCATTGCTTTGGAAAGACAACCTCTGCCTTAAAGTACCCGAATAATCCCTCAACCTGCTTCGTTGGTTCTTTCACACTTGTGTAGTTCTATGCCTGCTTTTCATCTCATCTTGAATTCACCCTGCGTGTCATGCGTAACCTTGTCTGCCCCCATCGCACGTATTCTACCTAAACTCGACTTCTGCGCCTTCCTATGCACGTGGGGGAAGTTATATGGCTTGCGTTTTCGTTCTACAGCTGCCCTGATAAGACCCGTGCGACTCTGCTGTTCCAGCCCTGCCACTTGATTCTATCTCGTTGCAGTCTCATGGAGCAGTGCCACTCGCCTGTCACCACTAACAGGAGGAAACTTTACGCCTGAGAGGATCTGTCGTTAGCTCGGGGTTGCGTTGTGCTGGGACATACGCCCCTTCCTTGCTGCTTTGCTCGATTCACTGTGCGCGCTAGTTCTTCAGTACGTTCTGGAATACCCCGACGGACCGGGTTTCTATGCAACCTTCCAGATGACCGTCATATGGTGTTTAGTACATTGCTATGGATGCTTCCAAGCTCTATGCATTTGTGACTATATCTGTCAATGTCTACAGGCAAACACCCCTTTCCCCTGTGCTTTCATGCTTAATGGTGTTCACTCCGGCATGCGTGCAACGTAGGCGATTCAAGAAGAGGCCAAATAAGGAAATTTATCTCCTGTCTTTCACCCAAACGTACACCACACAAGTGAGCCGTCTTGAGAAATATTTTGCTCGGCCATGTGGGCATGAGCACTGGAAAACTACTAAGACACTTCTGCGTCCGCACACTTACGCAAACTTCGTGCATAGCACGATCTTCACAGAATACATTGGATGCAGCTGCACTGCGGCAGAAAGATATCAGCCAGTCGGAATGGCGAAAGACGGAATCTCCGGCGTGTGCTCTCCGTCTTCTGCGTTCGCCGGTTAGCCCCAAAAGCAAACTGAACTATTCTGCAGATTGGCACTATCAAAGTCTCGTACAAGCTTGTTCCTACCGAAGAAGTTCTCGGGCTTTTACATAACTTGTGTGAGAAGAATCCCCGCAATACGCGAAACTGAGGCCAGTGCCTATGAGTCCACGACGACTACTGGGAATACAAAGCCTAAAAGTTACGTTGTTCAGCCACCTCCCCAAACGTGCTACTGCAGCATGCAGATACGCGCGCCCAAGGGTGAGCGCAACACAGGCGCCTGTATATGCGAGATACGCTTACAGGATGTTAAACAGGAGTGGCAATTGCATTATATCAAGGGGAATGCAAGCGAGACCATGCTTCCTGACAACGCCTCTATGTCCATGGCGCTGTCATATTCGTACAGAGCAGAAAGCTTTGAATTGGCCCCGGTTACAAACGTATCCCTGTGCAAAAACTTGACATCTACAACTGCACTGCTTACGCCAACGTCATCCCATCGACTTCTCAAGTTAAGAACTGCAGATAGAGGAAAGTTTTCCGATGCTCCCTTCAGCCTCGCTCGTTCCACGGCCTTAGCCAAGATGGGGACCGGAAACCGCCCTGTAAGTCCTGGCATGGCGAGGCTTTGCATGCGGCGAGCTTCCTCTTTAGTTTTCCCTTTCGTCACCTGCTCTACAGATGCAAGAAACCTCTCACATTCTTCAGTCACTACTCGATCGGAATCTTCGTAGATCTTTCGTATAGCCAATGCAAAGGCCAGGTTGTCAGCTAGCGCTGTGGAAACTGTCGGACCTGAATCGCCTCCTTGTGCCACTCCCACAACTCCAAGCGTTTCTAGCCGTCTAGTGAATTTCCCGAACGAGACAGATTCACAGTGGGGGTCCCCATACCAAAGCGGCGGCAATATGCTTCCTTCCATTGAAAAACCAAAAGGAACATCCCGTCTCGTTAACAACTCCATATGTCTAGACAGAGTGTCTAGACGCTCCGTGGCACAGCGTAAGAGGGTGGAAAACAGCAAATTTCGTAAAGCATACCCCTCCCGCTCCTCTATGCTATCGGTCTCTTCAGGAATAGGTAGAGTTTTTAGAAAAAGCGCATAATTAAACCATGACCCAAACTGTTCCTCCGTGAAATTATCCGTGGCCACCCGTAGAGAGTAATTATTCATGAATTGCTCGCGCCACGGTCCAGGTAGCCCCCAAAATTTGTTTCGTAACCGCTCTGCACCTTCCTCGACTGCCTCCAAGGTTTTCCGTAGGCCCTCGCGATCTGTTGGCACCGGGTATGGAAGCACAGATTTCTCTCTCCCAGCTAGATGGTAAAGCCCTCGTGCCAAGACGACAGACATAATGAAAGCGACCAGCACAAAGACTGGTAATGGACATACAAACTTTCTTTCCCGTGTTTTTGTTTCTCCGACGGGTGCCTCTTCGTGGATTGCCACGGGAATACCTTCAACACCATCCTGTACATCACCCTCCACGTCAGGGGGCGCTGATGTACTTGGCGGCTGCGCTACATCAGCAGTCAAGTGGGGCTCCCCATTAGTGCCTGCGCCCAAGTGACCCTCATGATCCTTTCCATCCAAACGATTCTGCAACTCTGCCATATTAGGAGTCTGAGGCAGGGACTGCATAAATCGAAGGAAGGTCTTGCCGTCACGGGCGGCAGTGAGGCCGCCGATGCCCCGACAGAAAAAGCCTGGAATATGTAACACGTAAATTTGACTCAAAACAAAAAGGTGAATTCTGGGGAACTCGAGGAAACAAAAGGGGAGTAAGCTGCTCACGCCATAGGGATCTTTGCGTGTGATGGAGGCGCGTACGCATGCGCTAGACTAACAGAACTATTAACATATATGTGGCGGGGCGATAGGCCTAAAACAATTCTATTTAAAAACAGAAAGGTTGGACCGACTTGTTTCTTTAAAACATCAGTGATAGCATCAGGATGGCTGGTTGCTCCTGTCCACGCCTCCCGCAAAACAATGTGCAGGTGGACGGGACTGCTCTACTCTGTGAGGTTGCTCAGCTGCGTCCTAGATCAAAACACTCGTCAATGAAAGTCGTATTCTTGGAATGAAAGTACTAAATACATTGAAAATATACCTAACTTGTGCCATCTGAGAAGCTCGAGCGACTGAAACTTTGTCGGTTTCACCCACGAAGCCGCTGGCACCCCACTCGACTCCTTCGTCATCTCTTGTCAGGTGTTCCCTCCTGGGTAGGCTGACTGATACGAGACAATCAAAAGCATAATAGTCGTGCACGTTGATACTGCATGAATTCAATGGAGATGGAAGCGTGGGTCGCTGTACGGCAGCTGCAGCAGGAAGTAGGAAAACCTACTTGGCTTTAGTAGGCACCCTGTACGCAGGCAGAAGTGCAGCAATTGTCTGCAGCGCTAGTGCAGACAGGAAGATGGGGTTTGGTTCCGCATGTATGTGAAGGTCCCTTGCACAATTAATTGCGACGAGTGCATCAAGCCACTAATACGGACTTGGATACGCACATTGCAAATCAACAACCGCGGCTGTCATCGTCGGCCCCGCCACTGCTCCTCGGATTGCGAGATGGCTGATGCGTTTCCCGTGCCGCTTTCTGTGATCTCCTGGCTGCGCTGCTTGGAGTCTTGCATCTGCAGTGCTGTAGCTCTTTTCATACGCCTGCAGCCACGAACTACGTGGGCTTGTTTATTACAGAAAATGCAAATGCGCCAGCCAGCACAAGAAAAATGTATACCCTTTTAAACATTTTAAAAATGCTTTACGATTGCACGTACAGAAGGTGGATATCCGCCAGTGTTGCTTTCTAAGTGCCGAATTCCCGAATTGATATGTTGTGGTTTGCATCCTTTCTATACGATGCGTACTTATTCCGTAATATCGATCATGCAGACGCTCTCACCTCTTAGTTACCTTTAATACTTGGGAGGCTCCTCTTCATGGGTCGCGCATCCACGAGAGTGAGTTTCTTGACCAATCGGCATAAGCCAAGATGAGCAAGGGCTGTCGTTTTCACATGTATTTTAGGAGAATATCTTAAGGGCTCTTTTGTACTTTTAAATGCACCTAAGGCACTACTGGCTGCAATGCACCAGGCCACCTTGCTTTGGGGGTGGCGTTTGCCGCCCTCACCCTTCCAGTGAACCCTGGGATCTTACCAAGTGTAAAGATAGTCTACGACGTTGTCCAAGGAGTGTAGTGAAGTGTAATCGAGTGATAATGCTTGAGGCAGCGGCCCCAGGTCCTGGGGATGGGGGTGAGGCGGCTGCTTGCCATTAGCTGCAACTTACCTTGTTGCAGCAAATGCAGCACGGGGCCTTCGTAAGCAAACACAATCAAAACCCCTTCTGCTGTCTGCATTATCACTGTAGACAATAACTGCACTTCTGCTTGCGTGCACACTGCCTCCTAAGACCAAGTATGTGCTTATCTACCGACTTCTGAGGGACATGCAATGTAGCCCGCCTTGTTGCAAGGACTAATCCTGTAGTTACTTGATAAGCGCATACTTGACCCTCAAAGGCACTAAACAAGGGGAAATACATTTACCAACTCCAGCTTGCCCATTACATAGACAGTTTCTACTACTTGATGCGTCGATTGCTAGCGTCCTTGTGTCGTGTGCTGCGGCGGCGCACCGAGAAAAGGGGAACCGCTCAAGTAGCAAGAAATAACCTCGGGTTGCATGTTCTTGAAGCAAAGAAACCATGCAAGACAAACGGGCCTACGGTTTTTAATGCTGCAGCACTCCGGGAACAGAGCTGCCGCGTGACAGCTCACAGCGACCCCACCTCCAGTATCCCGAGGCCGACTGCGGGTATTGAGAAGCCTGTGTATTTATGGGCTCACCACCCTTCTCCCATACATTTCTGTTGCAGCGTAACATATGTGGGGTTTACTAAGAAGCATTTAATTGTGGGGTTTAGTAAGAGGCTTTTAATTATAATCCTGCAACGTGCTTGTAGGTGTTGTGCAATTCATTCATCCATTTCTGCTCCGATGCCTGTGCGGTAATGCTGTTGCGAATAGCAGTTTGGGCATGTGATATGCTTTTTTCTGCACCTTTGTGGATAATAATAATTCAGAAAGAAGTATTTTCTTCTTGAAATTACGCTTGCTTCTCTTCATTGCCTGCTGCTTAGGCTATCGGCGTGGACCCTCGATCCCGCTCACTAACAATAATTCATCGTGCGTCCTGCCGTCATTTTTCGTGGGTCTGGGCGTCTGGGCCTGCTACCTGCGCGTTTGTTTATTTCTTCGCTATGTCATATCTGGGAAGTCAGGGGCCTTTGGGGGAGGCCTCCAGCCCGCAGACTCAGGGCTTGGAGTTCGTTCATCCTTTCACTCCGTCCCATCAGGCACAGACCAGCATGAATTCTTCCGGCATGGGAAATATGGGGAACTTCCTAGACTCAACGGGCTACTCAGCTGAAATGGGAGAAACCCACACTGCTGGAATCTCCGCGGAGGCAAGTTATGATGCTGCTACGCTTCCGACAGCACTAGCACTTGAGGGGCCTGAAGCTGCAGCTGCTCTCGAGGAGTTGGAGCTGCAGGGAAGCATGGAGGTAAAAGCTGCAGCAAAGACGCCTTCCAAGGGTTCTCCCGGCCTTAGACTGACCATTGGGGTGGCGCTGCTGGTTGGATTAGGAGCAGCAGCAGCAGCAGCAGCAGCAGCAGCAGCTCGGTCGTTACGGCGTGCGGTGCCTGCTTCGCAGATGCCTCTGGAGGTATCTGCTGGAAATTTGTCTGCTCTTTCGCTCTCTGTGCATGAGCATTTTGTGCAGTTGGCAGAACGGTGGCACTCTTCTTCTCACGCGACGCAAGTGGCTTTCTGTCGTTGGTACTACCCCAAAAAACGCGGCATCGTGGTTGTGCAAGACCCGATTGATACATTTAAAGAACATCTAAGGGCTTTCGATTCTTTGAAGCAGCCCACAGATGCGGATGACTTCAATGCGCGGCGCACGTATGCGGTGCAGTGCCTGCTAATGTGTGCTGTCATGGATGCTGCATACATGCGCTTGAGCCAGCTCGAGAGCACCTACGAGCGGTGGCAGAAGGACCCCACTTACTCTGTGAATGTTCTTGACCTACCAGGCGCCTTTTTGAACTACGCTGAACTCAACGCGACACCAGGCACTGTCTCCTTTCAGGACTTCTCTCGGCGGCTTACCGAAGCGGGGTTCGAAGGGCTGAGCGCTTCTGCTGCAGATGCGGAACAGCCTCAAATTCCCCCCGCTCTTGCCACGCGGCTAGAACACCAGGCTATGGAGGATGTCTTTATGAAGACGGAAGATAAGAGGGTGCTTTCTGTCTTTCATGACTTCTACACCAAGGTGCAACGAACGCTGCTGGCGCACGACAGTCCCTACAAGCCACAGGACCCAGCAGCAAATGCACCAGTGCAGGAGCCTCTTAGTGAGATACCGATGTTCTCTACGGCGTCTCCTTTTTCTGTGCAAGTGTTTAAGCAGGCGTTGGAAGAGGCAGAAAAGACCTTCGACAACGCAGTTTCTCCCCAGGAAGTTCAGAGCTGGGAACAGATGTGGACAGTCGGTGGCATAGCAAGTGTCCTGAGGCAACTCGATGATAAATCCATTAGAAATTTAGTACAAGCACAAAAGCTCGTGCAAAAATATGCTGAAGTTGCAGGAACCGCCAGTGGAGCAGGCTACGACGGGTTGGGTATCTTGGAAACGGCCCTCTCGCTGCTGTAGCTGTCTCTGCGCACCAATGGTTTTTTCTTCGTCTCCTCTTTCCCATGTTTGTATATTAACAACAAACATCACTGTCTCCTCCGCGATTGGGCTGCGCCTCCTCTCCTCAGCAGCTTAAGGGCGAACGCGCGTGGTGAGGCCAGCAGTATCGATTGATTGCGGGGCCCCCGTGGGGCTGCTGCAGCAAACTGCAGCAGCAAACTGAAGCTGCAGACTGCAGCAACAAAATGCAGCGCCAATGAGAATTCGTCCTTAGAGCTCCTGCATGCAGACAGGGAAAAGCATAAGGACGGACTTATAAAGAACCGCCAAACAAATGAAATGAGTTGAATATTCGCAGAAGGAATTGGGAACTGACCTCAACATGAAAAGCCTGGGACACCGATCGATGCAGAGAACTGGAGCGTAGGCTCTACTCAGAGATGTTTAGATACACGCACGCGCATGCAGGCATGCATGCACGCGTAGGCGTGCATGCGTGCATTACATGCAGATATATGCATGAATGTAAATGTTGGGATGCATGCAATTGTAGGCATGCACGCAAATGGTGGCATGCATGCAATTGTAGTCAGGCATGCAAATATAGACATGCATGCACACACATGAGGCATGCAGGCGCGCAAATGCATTCATGCAGGTAGATGCACCCAGAGTGCATACATTGGCGTTCTTGCCTTTGCATTCTCCAGGTGGATCCTCACCTTGCATTGGTGTTGTTTTCTGAGTGCCCCTGGGGTTTTTTGTTTTTTTCAGCCGATGATGATCTCTTCAAAACCCTTGGAGAGGACTTTGCGCTGAGTTCTCCAGGGTTCAGGGTTTATTTATGACGGCTTATTGCTTGGGGTTTAGGGTTTACGGTTTGGGGGTGGGGGTTTAGGGTTTAGATTTTTCTACGTAATGCCCAAGTTCAGGGGTTCAGCACTCCACGAGCAGCTAGTGCATGCATCTCAGTAAAACAATTACTAAGGAACAAGAAACAGTACACAAGAAATAAGAAATAAGAAACAATGAGTAAGAAACAAACAATACGAAACAGTGAACAAAACACAAGAAATAGGAAGTAAGAAACAATAAATAAGAAACAAACAAGATGAAACAATAAACAAAACAGAAGCTATAAGCAGGAAACAAGAAGAAATAAACCTAAACCCTAGGGTGTAGAGCCTAATGCCTAAACCCTAAACCCGAATCCACCCTATTCAGGAGGAGTCAGCAATGATAAACCCTAATGGACATTAATAAACAATACTACATATATATATGCATATATATAATCGTTGAAGTACCTATGAATCCTACTAATTTATTGTATATGCACACATGAAAAGTATTAATTTGTAGTGCTTACGCGATAGTCATACTGTTAGTAATATGAACCACTCTAAATTGAAATCCATACATAGGAATATCAATAAAAGATATTTTAATATGTTCATGCTTCTATGCAGTTGATTAACTACTAGTTTGAATAGTAAATTAATTAATTCCAATATTTTGAAATACGTAACACTGTTAGTAGTTGTATTGGCAGCAGTGCATAACGTTGTATATACAGCGCGTATGAAGCTTTCTAATTTATAGTACGTGTATATGCGGGTAGTAGTAACAGTAGTAACGCAGAACAACGACGTGCATATAGCCACTGCAGCACATATGAAACTTACTCGTTTACGGTACACAGCTAGTACTTGTAGTAGTAACAGTAATACTAAATAGTACTATATATATACATATAGATATACATATATATTTCCATATATATTATATATAAATATAACATATGCATATGCATATAGATTATATCTTTAAACTACATATGACACCTACTGCTATATATATATATGTATATATATATATATATATGCACTATATATAGTAGTAGCTAAAGTGTTAGTAATATTGTAAACCAGTACAGTACATATACGTATATATATTATATATATATATATACGTATGCATATGATGCCAGT